TAGCCCGACTACATGGCTGCGGAAGCAGCCCCATTGAGGAGCCTCAGCCCCAGCGCTGCCTCCTCTCCAGCAGCAGCGTGGGGGATGGAGGGTCCGGGCTGAGCTCCTTCCCCCCCCCCAGCATGGCCTACAATTAGGGTGCGGGGCCTGTAATTGCCTCGTGAGCTGGATGAAAGCCCAAGGTGGGCCAGATCCAGGCCACTGAGAGGCTTTTGCCCACCCTTGTCCTAGAAAGAAGTTTCCTTTAGTGCAACAGTGTCACACTACTGACTTGCATTTAGCTTGTTGCCCACTATGTACATTACACTCCCTTGTCCCTGTAAACTAATTATAAACCACTCTCAGGGTTTCACATTTCCCTATAGTTCTCTCTGTGATTTCTTTCTGCCACCTATTGCAGCCACTACATTAAGCATCCCCTTTTGGCAAAACTGGAGGCATCTGCTCTCCGTAACAACATCACAGTATTTGCAAATACTTTCAGATCACATACTCAATGGATACTTTTTTAAAAGAAAGTTAAATTTCATAAAGCTAAGACACAAAATGCAATATAGTTAGAGTCTACAGTTCACATCTGAACAGAACATCTGCCTTCTCCCATCCCTCCGATTATCAATTTTTAAAATATTTCAGACTGCTCTGATAATATGTTTTTCTATTAGAGTAATTACATTGCTATACTTACTAGTCTATCCTATGGCTTCTGAAGTGGACACTATTCAACACTCTAACTGCCACTCCTGGAGGAGAAACAGCCAATAAGTTCCAGGCCTTAGGAGAATTCAATTAGTCAATCAAGCACAAAACGCAAGCTTTTTGTTTTATTGGTGCCAAATATTTGTAAAAACTAGTCTCTCTCTCTCTCTCTCTCTCCTCTCTCTCTCTCTCTCACACACACACACACACACACACACACACACACACACACACACACACACACACACACTCTCTCTCTCTCTCTCTCTCTCTCTCTCTCTCTCTCTCTCTCTCCATTATCAGCATATCATTCTAAGTTAGAGTGAGTGGGTTTTTGTTAGTCTCAGCCTAAAGACTGTAACATCCTCTGGAGTTTAACAATGATCATTCCCATCATCGCTTAGAAGCTTCCACAACTGAAAATGCATTTTGTTTCAGCCAGCATAAAACTAGCAACATAGTGTAGCTAGTTAATATAATGTATTTGCAGATGTGTATTTCAATGTACTCTTTCTTAAACTATACAGATTGAATAACTGCCTAAAACCCATAGCCAAATTTAGGGCCTAGAGGAAGACAGCAAAGCTTTAATCTTGGACTTGATTTATACTTCAGTTTTGTTACAGTTCTGAAACATGCCTTAAATTAGATATTGCTTACTTGAAAGAAAAACACACAGCTGCTTTACTTTAGAACATAACATCTGATAACAATGGGAGTTTTGAATACACAAGGTATGCAGGATTAGGATTTACTGGGGATTCCTCTGATCTGCAAGGTATATGATTTTCTTAAACATAAGCAGGTCCTCAGCATTGCCACAAGTAATAAAGATCCTGACACTTCTAAACTTTGCTCTATCACCAAGCAGGTGAACAGCTATTTTGCTGTTTTAGAAGATAGTGAATTTCTCTTTGTTTCATAGTCAATATCTGACAGAAAAATCATGGTAAGACTGCACCATGTGCACCTGTCAGACAAAATCAAAAGGGAGAAAGAAAAGACCTTGGGGACTCCACTGGTTGAATGGTATTCAAAGTTACATGTGTTCAAAATCCTTTTAAAATAGCACTGATGTTTGCTTACTCATTCACCTGCTTCTTGTCCACTCTCACTGAATATTAAGTGACTGTAAGGATTGGTGTCCATTGCTTCAAATACTAGCTTAAGTGGTCATACCTCATGATCTGGCTTTGAAAAGAAACACCTGCCTCTCAGGTAATTTTTTTTCTTTTTAAAACCACTTAAAATGTTTGTGCTCTGTGGATCTTATTTGCATCTCTCTGGATTGCAGATCATATTGCCTTTTGTCAGGTTTTTAAGCCATTGGGTAAGGGCTCAGAAACCCCTCTCTTCTGTGACTAATGACACGATATCTTGGATGTGTCCATTATACTAGCTTTACTGTTGTTTACATTATGTTGTTATAACATGTCATACAATGGCTTTCTCTATTCTGCATCCCTCAGCTGGTCCTAGACTGTATTTCTGATTCAGATCAGGAGAAATAAGCAATTTGGCTGCAATATGCTCCCCTCCATCCACATAAATGGGGGACTGCTTCTTTTTGGCATCCCTTTCTTATGTGAATTTCGGATCTCCACCTAAAGAGCTTTAAATATATTGTATACATAAGTTTTTATTCTATCTTTATGAGACTTATGATCCATCCTGTGCATGATGACCTGTAATTACCATTAGGCTCTTTGGTTTTTAAAAGCTATCAAGAAAAAAAAATTGTTTTGTTTTGAAACTAAACAAATGTCATTAATACATCAAAGATATAATTTGTTGCCTTATAAATAACAGATAATTTGGAGCGGAAGACATCTTATGCATCAATATGATATATTGGTAATGGTTACATTAGCGCTGGATATGTCTGAAGACATATGGAAAAGACTTTTCTGCACTGCCATCTAGTAAACTGAATGTTAACAGGACTTGTGGTGCAGAGTTCCTCCATCTCTCATTCAAGGATGTTAACAGAACACTTAGAAGGAGTCAGCTGAGTATTTGTCCTTACCAGACTGAATCCAAAATATCAGAGGGAAGGCAAGCTGAAAAACCACTGAAACGGACTAAAGTATTTGGTCACCATGAGTGGTCTGTTAGGTCTGAAAAATGGAAGTATAAAGATTAGATACTAAATCACTGATTACAGTTTAAAGATAGAGCACATGATCTATCATCTATTTAAAGTGCAAAATACTGCTTTGAACTGCATTTTATTATCAATCTAAATTTTAAAGATTATTAGATCATTTTGTTTATTTCACTGTTAATGATTCAACTAAAGGCTACTTTTCCATGCATATTTAAAAAAATATCATGCACTAACAAGTGGACTGCTCATTCCTCCAAGAATAAGATCAATAAACTTGCCTGGCCAAAATAACATTCATATTAATATTATATTGTTGCATTTTTTTAACCAATTTGTCTTTTGTATGAGGTATCTGGAGGTGCTGAGCTCTCTGATCAGGAAAGATCTCATCATTTTTTCAGAGGGAGAGATGTCCTCCTTTTGTCCTTGTTAAATTTCAACTAGAGGTAATTACATTCTGTCTCCTGAAGATTCCCATTATAGTTCACAATAAAAGTGATCATCTCTTCTTGTGGTGTAATGTATCTGTGCAGTTAGAGAACTACCATATTTCACCCTACAGGTGGCTAAGCTTCAATGGTGGATAAATGATTTAATGTCAGACATTGCACACAAAATTCCCATTGACTTCCACAGGAACTACATGTTGATAAGAAATGCAGGATCAGGTACATAAAATTATTCTGTGTGAAATACAGAAACATAAGTAATTGTTTTCTACAATCTAGCCCAGATACTAACAAGGGTCTAGAAATTTAACATTTTATATGCCCAAGAAGGAAAATGGTTTAGATAATCTAGGTCTTTCCATCTATAACTCCTGTGATTTAAAATGCTACTAGTCTAAAATGATCATGACATATAAAAAGAGACACTTCATTTTAGTGTTAAAGATAATGAAAGAGATGAAGAATGAGTGATCATTGTTTCTTACTTTCTGCCATGCTCTTTGCCCTGAGTAGGAGGGGGAAGCTCAGATTTTTACCACGTTTAAAATCACTTACCTGTAGAGAATATATTAAAAACTTTACAGAAATATTTTGACAAATTATGAACATTTCACATCTACCATAGTAGAAGGAAACATGGAAATGAAGGGCTGGCAGGATTAAGTATACCTAGACCATCCCTGGCAGACATGTGTCAGATTCCATAGCCCTACTAAATTGCCTGCTCCAGAGCTTAACAATCCTTATAGTTAGAAAGATTTTCCTAATATCTAAACTAAATATCCCTTGCTGAAACTAAACCAATTTACTTCTTGTCCTACCTTTGGTGGGTGGACAAGGAGAATAATTGGTCACCATTCTCTTCATGACAGCTCTTTATATATTTTCCGGCTCCCTCTGAGCCTTCTCTTCTCTAGAGTACATATCCTGAGTTCTTTCAACCTTTTCTCATCAGACATGTTTTTGAAACCCTTTGGCATTTTTGTTGTTCTCCTCTGGAGTCTCTCCAATTTGTCCACATCTTTCTTACACTGTGGTCACAGTACTCCTACTACCTTTTCTAGAATTTAATCTTGCTTATTTTTTCAGCACCCAGAAATAGGTCATGTAGCTTCACACTACTAACAAACAAGGTGGCAGCTGCTTACACTTAAAGCAAACAAACAAATACATACAAAAGCTTAGTTATACCAGACAAACAACAAAAGAAAACTAAAAGCATGATGGGAAGTTTGTATGTGTAATGCCTAGCCCCAAATTATTTTATGCGCCACTGAGACTTAACCACCAGTATGGCACAATATGCAGTTATATAACATGTTGACTGAAACACCACCAATGTTTAAATAAAAGACTCTGGGTAATATTTACTTAATCTTTTAATAAGGCTCTCTGTAAGCCAATACTGCTGATTAAGGAGATATGTAATTATCAGAATAAGTGTGCCTGAGAACTGCTAACAAATTGATTTGGTGATGATGGTCTATATTTATCTATCCATCTATTAAGATTCCAGCTCTTTTTGGACAGAATATCAACAAGGTTGAAGCATCCATGGGTTTTATGGTCTGTTGTCCAGTTTTTAAGAACAGAGTCATTTTGACTTTACAAATTATAGCTGTGCAGCCACAGTGTCTATGGCAAATGCCAAGAATCCTATACCAGTGTGATATCAGAGATAATTCAACCAGTCATCTTCTTACTCTACAGCTAATCTGCATGCAACAACCTGACTGGTTGTATAAGGGAGACCACACAGATGGTGGATTACTTGGCCCAAAGGCCATACCTGTGTGACATACCACATCCCAAAATCAACATTACTCTCCAATATGGTTCCCCCCCCAAAAAAAAATGAACCCAACCACTCCATACCATAATAACTAGCATAAGATCCCCAAACAGGTACATCCCTTTATTGCAGCATACACCCATTCACCACCTACACAAATGTGCTAGCACAGTGCTCCCAAACATAAATCAACACAACCAGCATACACAATAACTCCAAATACGCATAGCCCTTCACAGTAGAAACCCCCCTCCCCCCCCACACACACTTCCGCTATTCTTATAAATCAACACTACTCTCCCAGCAAACACAACCCCACACAAATCAACACAGTCACCCACACAACCACCCCATACATCAAACTGATGCTTAGACTATCTTTGAAGTGAGGGAAACAGCTGCAGCAAGGTTCAGAGCCCTTTTTAGCTTAGCATAGCTGTGAGATTTGTGGTCTGTGACCGTCCAATTTTTAAGTCCTCAGCCATTTTCCACTCTTTTACACATGACTTTACAAATTAATACCCACATGACAGCATGGACTTTCAGCTACTAGTCTAGAATATACTGCTGACATTCTTCATTGTATGCAGACTATTTAGATTAACTTGAGAATGCTTCCTGTTTATTATCATATAATGAACTAAATGAACCTGACGATATTCCTACAGAAAATGAGGCCAGAATCCACAGACTGTGTTAGCACAGGGAAGTTATGATTGAGTTAATAGGACATAGCCTCACAAGAATACACTGAAACATGATACTCATCCCCTGACTTTGGCCTTCTCTTTAACCCCTATTTCTTGCACATGTCCCTAGTTCGGACTAGGGATGCAAATGCAAATGAGCAAAGTAGCTAATGAAGCCAGGATTTAAATATCCCGTGCTCCATTAGCATGATCTCTCTGGCGCGCTAGTTTGAATCACAGCTGATTTGAACCAGGAAGTGCATGCCGGGACGCATTAGTTCGAACCAAAGCCCTTGGTTCGAATTAACGTTATTCCTCATTTATTGAGTAACATTTATTGAGGAGAAAGGTTAGTTCAAACCAAGGGCTTTGGTTTGAACTAACGCGTTCCGGCATGCACTTCCTGGTTCAAATCAGCTGTGATTCAGACTAGCGCACCAGAGAGATCATGCTAATGGAGCACGGGATATTTAAATCCTGGCTTCATTAGCTACTTTGCTCGTCTGCATTTGCATCCCTAGTCCGAATTAGGGAGCAAATGTAGACGTACCCTGTGTTCTGATGGGCTACTGCCCTTGGAATCCTTAGATTTATCTCTGCAATGACCCACTATGGCCCGTCAGAGCATGACTCTTCCAGCCAGGGTCTCTACTGATAGGCCTGCTGTCTCTTGCAAGGTCTAGTAGTGGTGCTTTCGACCTCTGGCCAAGGCACACTTCAGTCTTGTTCCATCCAGGGTATTAGGTTTATAAGAAATCAGAAAACACCACAAGTCAAAACACTGATCATCCAATGAACCTGCAGTGCTCATTTTGGGTCAGATTTCAGCTAGTCTCCCAGCGTCTGATCATCCCTTCCACCAAGACGCAAGGGGGAGGAAAGGCTATCTCAACCTCAATCTCTGGCTGCAACCCAGCCTTCTCTCCTATCAGGAGAAGCCAAGCTCTGCTCTCCTTCCTGGCCAGTTTTGAATTGGGTTAGGTCTCCTCTTTTTAGATCCCCTCTACAGGCCTGACATCTATTGCTGTTATAGCAGGGCAGGGCCAATTGGGTCCGCAGACTCTCATTAGCCCTCTTCTGCCCCACTACAGTCCCCAACAAACATGACTGCCTCAACTTCTGCCTCCTTCACCCAGGGCCGGACCCAGCCATTCCAGTGCCCCGGGCAGACAGGTTAATTGCGCCCTGGGTTGGGGGAGGGTGCATGCATGGCCCTGCCCCTGCCTGGCACGTGGGGAAGGGTGCGTGGAGCTGGCGGCAGCAGGACGCACGTACCTGGCTCCGCCCAGCCCGGCCACAGCCGCGGGCGGGAGGAGA